CACATAAGGCGGTTGGGGGATGTCTATTGAGAAGCCCCATCTGAGCAAAAACCGGAAGGAGCTAAACCAGTTGGCCAGGTAGATTTGGCGGGAGGGGATGCTTTTCAGATAGAAAGGGGCCAGCAAACTACAGTCTGCCGGCCAACCCTACCTGCTAGCTATAAATAAAGTTTTATGAGCACACAGCCACTGTGAGTGATCAGGTGGGCACCGGTGATGGCCACTATGAGGGAGGAACTGAAAAGCTGCAATGGGGACAACTTGGACTGCAAAGCTTAAGCTGTCGACTCTCTGGGTTTTGCTGATCCCTGGGAGACAGTAAAGAGCCAGCAGCCCTGTGCAACATTTAAGAGGCCAAAGCAGAGGAAGCAAGGGGTGGGAAGAAGAGTGAAGACACAGGGGTAAGAGGAAGCCGTGGGTAGGGCCTTGGCGTTTTCTGTAGGTGGAATGGGGACTCCGTGCACTTCAGGCAGGCTGTTGGAATGAGAGAAGGTGTTTATGCTGCATCCCTGGGGACATTCGAGGCTCTACAGGTTCTTACCCAGGGCTCCCTGCGTCCTGGAGGGAGGTGAGCCTGGACAGGCTGATGCCACCATGTGCCTGAAGATTACCCCCGGAGCATGGAGGTTCCTGAGAGGCTGGGGTGGCCAAAGAGCCCCGGCTTGCTGTGCTCAGTCCACATGTCCTGAAGAACATTTTTGTGTGTCTGTGTGCTTCCCTTAGACTGAGATGTCTGTGTGCTTATTTCTGTCAAGTCTTTACTACAGTCCTTTGAGGGAAGAGTTCAGCCACAGAATGAGCAAAATGCAATGCACTTCAGCCTGATGCCTAGGAGAGGGGCCCCCCTTCCCCAGAGATCACGGGGTGCTGCTCAGTAGACAGGGTGGCAGCTTACGTGAACAGCCTGTCCACAGCAGTGGCCTGGAGAATGCAAGGAAGAAACAGGTGAAACCCAGCTGTGCCTTCGGCAAAGGGGAGACAGCACTGTCTGCTAAGAATGAGATGCTAGCGTCGAGACAAGGAGGCTGAGGAGTGGGCAGAGGATTGCCCCATACACAGCACAGAAAGAAGAGTGGGGTTGTCGTCAGAAGTAAGGTGCTGTGCTGTAAGGTGGCAACATTTGAGCATTTCTTGACTAGCCCACCATTATAGGTTGAATTGTATCCTGCCATCCCCCAAAATATGTTGAAGTCCTAACCTCCAGTACCTGTAAATGAGACCTTATTTGAAATGGGGTCATGGCAGATTGAATTAAGAGGAGGTCATACTGGAGTATGGCGGGCCCCTAATCCAGGATGACCAGTGTTCTTACGTGAAGATGGCCAAGCGAGGACACAGAGATACACAGGGAGGAGCCCATGTGAACAACGAGGCAAAGACTACAGTGATTTGCCACAAGCCAAGGAATATCTGGGACTACCAGAGCTGCAAGAGGCAAGGAATGGGTCTCTTCTATAATCTTCAAAGACTACTGAGTTTTTCCTGTATAAGGTAACTAATTGAATTATGGAAAGGGCCACCTCTGTGTATAGGCGAATTGTCCTATGCACAAATTAATCACAAGCACCAAATCTGAAGACAAAAATTGTGCTGACCATAGTTAGAAGGTCCTATCCTCCAGACCTCTTTCCTGCTGAGACAATTCTCTTTTGTCAAACAAAATTGTTGGTAAAACCCGAAAAACGTCCAAGATGAAGAAGTGAGTTCTGGTTATGATCATGGGTGAGCAGCTGTTAGCTGAGTGATAGCCTGAGATGAGTAAGTAATGAACACTGTGAGTTCACGTTCGAGAGTGAGTGTCATGAAACCATACCTTCAATCAGCAGGCCCCGGGGTTTCTATTTCCCCAAAGTGGGAGCTCCAATGCCAAGGGAGTTGCCTGCCGACCCCTTGGGGGTGGCTCATGTCTCCTCATTCAACAGGTCAGAGTCTGCATATTCTTTTTTTTTTTTCTTAGATATTATTTATTTATTTGACAGAGAGAGAGACAGCGAGAGAGGGAACACAAGCAGGGGGAGCGGGAGAGGGAGAAGCAGGCTTCCCGCTAAGCAGGGAGCCCGATGGGAGGCTCGATCCCAGGACCCTGGGATCATGACCTGAGCTGAAGGCAGATGCCCAGCAGCTGAGCCACCCAGGCGCCCCATATTCTTAACTGAACACACCAGCTCCGGGTTTTCCAGCACACCCGCTCAGCTCTATCAAGAATAAATCCAAACCTCTGCTCTCCATTTGCTCACTCCGTGCCTTGATTCTCAATCAGCTGAAAACTCTGGAGAAGAATCTAAACGCCTCCTTGAATGGGTCCCTAAAAATCACAACAGGAAATTAGGACTCTTTTTTTGGATACTGCAGAACGAACTTTGTTTTCAGCTTGTTTGGGTTTCTTTATTTGTTTTCGTCTCACTGAAGGAGAAAGAATTCTGTACATTTTTATAAAAAGATGGCAGTTATCACTAGAGAGGAAGAAATCTGAGGCTAGGGCAAAAAAAAAAAAAAAAAAAAAAGAAGGGATAACAGATACAGCAACAATCTCAAGTAAAGAAAGAAAATGACTCCAGAACACAGTGGGGAACTGAGACCAGGGCATCTGGTCACGGGGCAGATGGGATGCAAAGCAGGGATTCCAGTGAGGTCAAGAAGAACAGAGGCCCCTGCTTCCAGGCTCAGCAGGGGGACAGAAGCAGAACTAAGTGGGGTCAGAGGCCAGAATCTGTCCTGGATGGTCCATCAGAGTCGAAAACAGGGCCAACCAGCAGTAGAAACGGTATCTCGGGGTTCAGTAGAAGGCACTGCCCCAACAGGGCCCAGGAGAGGGAAGAAACACTCAACATTCAAGAACTCTCTGCTCTCTGCCCTGGGAGTGAGGGCCTTCCTTTGTGGGCGGGTGGGGCTGAGGGCAACAGGGTCATTCAGGGTCATGGGAATGAAGATGACAAGGTAGGTTGAGTGGTGGCTCTACCATGTTTACCTTGGACTAATTTTCAATTTCTACAGTTGTTGGATTCTATCATATATAAACAGCAGCACCTTTTAGGAACCTAAAACATGATTCATTATGTTGGCCAAATGACAGCACACCTATGGTGACTGTGGTAAGCAGGGTTAGCTCTCCCACTGCCCTTCTCACATCCCCTGACTCTCAGACAGAGAGGCTTCCACCCAGACGTTAATGGAATCAGACCATCTGATCAGCCAGCGGGCACTGGAGTCACATGCAAAGAAATAGTCAGTGTTTTTAACTCATGCTATAACCGGAGTTATTTTTCCAGGATATTCTTCAGGGGAACACTTTTGGGGAAAAAAAAAGAGAGAGAGAGAGAGAGACGGTACTCCTAATTACTTTTTACTTTGCTTTGGACAAACTCTAATTACAATGCCTTTGATTGGGGGGCAGGTGATTTTGATTTGTAACTGGAAACTTTGCATGGTCAGTAAAAATCAAATGAACAGAAAGAAGAGCTTTAAGCTAAACAAATGAAAGCATCAGGGCCCGAAGGGGACTGAAACCAGTTCAACAGAAATAATGTTAATGAAGAAAAGCTAGGTACAGCTTCAGTTTAGGAAAACAATTCATGTTGCCCTTTGGAAGGGTACAGAGTCATTTAAATTACTAGAGAAATCTGAGGAGGATATTCTCTTCTCTACAATGGAATCTTTTAAAGGCAACCTGGGGGCTGGTCTGACTCTATTACTTGGAAAAATGCTTTATATATACCTTCAGGAATAAATATGCATAAATAATGAGCTTAAGCCAGTCGTTCTCAACCAGAGGCATTTGCTCCCCCAGGAGACGTTTGGAAACTTCTGGAAGTTTTTTTATTGTCACAACTAGGTAGAGGGGGATGCTACTGCATCTAGCGAGTATAGATCGGCTAGAGATACTGCTAAGCATCCCATGATAACCAGGAGAGCCCCGCACCACACACACATCAAAGAATTATCTTTTCCAAAATGTCAGTAGTGCTGAGGTTGAGAAATTCCCATCTACATAATTAGCTTGTACTTGACAGAAGGCCAGTAAATCTTTGTAGAACTCGAAAGCTCAAAATAATAAATAATATAAGGGCAATTTCAAGATTTCATCTTTGTGCAAGCTACCAAATAAAGGGATGACATGTGATGCACGTATCTATCCATAACACTGTGTGCGTGTGTGTGTGTGTGCGTGTGCAAGCACATTCACACATGAACACACATACAGAGGGCTCAATTTTAGCTGGCACCCCTCACTCAGGACATTGAACAAAGCCAACCTCTATTCTGACTGCTTAGTGAGCACATGACCAATTTTTAGTCCAAGACTGAAGTCTTCTGGGAAGACACAGCTTCTCCTGCTGCTGCATATTGTCACACCTGGATGCAGTGCCTCAAATTGCATCAGCGATTCTGCATGCCCAGCAGAGTCAGTCTGAGGACCACACTGCCACAACGTGGATGGCAGAGAGACCAGTGACAGAGCTCACTGACGTTCGCGCCATCGAAGGAAGTAACCCCGAAGACGCGTACCCCAATGCTCTGGTTATGTGACTCGATACTTTTTTAAACTGATCAAGCTCTTTGGAGCTACCTGTGGCCAAACCTATTCTCTTACCCAGTGTCTGAACATTTCATGAAATGCCAGTAACTTCCTGCTTTTAGATATATAATGAGAAGTTAAGAAACAATGCACATGAATCTACAGATATCTCTGATACGACATCAAATTTCCTGAACTTCAAACACCAGCGTAAAGAACAGCCTAAGTTCGATGTATGGTCATGTCAACATTAGCCCTGTTGTCCTGGTCTCCAGCATCGACAGTATCTCTTCCCCTTCTACTCCGAAAGAGCGCCGCGCAGATGCCCTTCCACACTGACAAGCAAAACAAGTGACATTTTGATTTCCTGAGAAAATGAAGAAATTGTTTTTCTTCGGAAGCGGCAGCAGCTTGCTTTTGAGCACAAGTAACCAGGCGTTACAGACAAACGAGGTGGGGCACCTCCAGTGATGGGAAGACTCACCGTTGAGCCATTTGGAGTTGTACTGCGCTGTGCGGAGAGGAGGCAAGATGCCCAGACTCCGGTAAATGGCAGGATCCCGTCCGGGAAAATCCATGGCCGTAGCAGCGTACAACTCCCCACCGGCTGTGAGGAGAGCCGTGGAATTGTGCTGGGGACTGTAGGGGCAGCGGGCCATGCCACTGATCTGATCATGGATCTCGGTCAGGTTATTCAACTGTGGGGGAGGACAAGAGAGACGAAACCAATTAGCCCCCAGGAAAGCCCTAGAACAGGGTCGGCCTGACCCGCAAATGACGCATGTGCAATAAACTCTCTGGGGCTCAGGATAAGACACGACAGATGTGTGCACTCCGACTTTGATGAAAACGCCCTGCGGTGGACTTGGATGGAGGATCCACCAATCATCTCCCTCATCCTCCCTTCAGAGCTGCGGGACCTCACACTATTAAACTCTCACCAAAAGAAGAAAAAAGAAAAAAAAAAAAAATAAATAAGTTGATTGTACATGGGTCCCATTGATAACGCACGGGTACTGCAGATCTTTCCACTTCAATAGAGAAAACTTCAATATTTAGAGAAACACAAACCACAATATAGATTCTGTACAATTCTATCACCCTAAGTGAATTAAAATGCTATGAATAGCTCCAAACTCTGCTCACAGATAAGGATGCGTGCTCTTTCGGACTGTGTTGCCCAAATTTCCAACACTTTATTTTGTCAGTTTTCAGACAGCCAACTCGGGGTCTTGCAGGCATCTGGTGTGAACCCAGCTTCTCAGTTGCTGGTTTCCCAACCCATCCTTGAACGAGAAAAGTTCCACTGGCTTCTTCATCCTGACCTGGGTGGTAGCAGAACACAGGGCTAGACAGGGGACCCACACACACTGCTCACTCTGCCGGCAGAGGTTTAGCTCCGGGCAAGTTACTTAAATTCTTTGTATCTCAAACTCTTGTTTTAATACAACAGGGACCCAAAGGATAAACACAACCTGGGGTAGGTAACCACCACCCGAGTAGGTGCAAAGCATTGAGAGCACGGCGTGACATCCTCCTCCTCGTTCTTCTTGTATTTCCAATAACCGAATGCTAGTTTGAAAATATTGTAGATGATAAAGTCAGGCTTTGAGAGAAGTTGGGTAGCCAGGGAATTAACATAACGATATTTCTTCATCATGCTCCCTGCGGGACATCAAACTCCTAACGATATTTCTTCATCATGCTCCCTGCGGGACATCAAACTCCTATCTCGAATTAGAAAGACTGCCCTTGTGCTCGGACGCCCCACGGATCTATGGGTGTAAGATACAGGCGCTGAAGAGTCCTCCGCCAATAGGGACAGGTTTAAAAGAAAAAGAAAGAGGACAGGTCGGACCATCACTTTGCCCAGGGCTTGGGCTTCATTTATTGGCTTGCTTTCATTTTTTTGACATTGCTCTTATCCAATTGGTCAATTATAATTTTCATCATTTGGACTATGATTTTAAGGCCATTTAATACTTCTCAGGATCTCTGTAGTAAACCAGGATAAAAGAAGAGTATGTTGAGGATTAGTGTTTAGGATCACTGGTGGAGAAAAGCTGGCAGAAACAGTTTGGAAACATATTGAAATTTAATTCAACAAGCTATCGTTACTTCCAGCTCTTTATACTCTAGGCAGTGTGATTAGTAATAAATCAACACATCAAATATTTTTTCTATTTGAAAAAAAGACTTTTTTTTCAGTCTTTTTCAGAAAAAAAGCAACTCCTTAGAGAACGGAAGTACATGTAAAACTACAGCTTTAACAGAACGTTTGGATTTTCCTGGTATTAAACTCTGTCGAAGCTCAAGACGAAGACCTACCGTGCGATTGGTGCAGACAGGCGTGAAAGCATTGGTCCCACAGGTAAATAACCGGTCGCCACCCACTAAAAGCACCCGGATGTAGTTCTGACACTCCTCCTGGAGGGGGAAAAAAAAAAAATCACACAAAACATGTTAACAGGCCTGAACACAAGAGGAATGGCAAATCTGAAGATATTTTGACTGACTAATAAATTATATGGCAATTGACCACTAAAAACAAAAACAAAAATCTCTTAGATATTGACCCCCAAACAACAATAACTGTTAAATAATCTGACCTTCTCTATCTGCACACTTGTTCGGTAGAAGATATTTATGAAGATAAATATACACATTCAATTAAAATCTCAAAGCATGTATCTTTTTTTTGATGAATGTGGTTTCATTTTGAATTGTACCTGTTAACAGAGCAAACCCGAAATCGCCTTTGGTATGTGTTAGTGAGGAGAATGAATAAAAGGAAACTATTGGATGCCACTCATGAAAAAGTGTCTCAGAAAACTTTCCAGAACTTTGAAAAAAAATGTTACAAATGCTTCTCCAAATGCAAGGGTCACATGTGAAACTCTGTATACAAATTGGAAGAAGTTTTACAAAAAGTTTTCAAAGTGCTATTCCATACATAGTGAGAATCTATACACATTTTTGATTTTTGACGGAGAAGCAAGAATGTAACTAATAAGGAAAGGATGTCCAGAACATGTGGGATGAGACCCCATGCTGAGTGATGACCCAGAGTTGATTATGTTTTGTGCTTGCAAAGCATGTATAGAAAATCTGGGGCACTGTCATCATAGTGCATGGACTTCTGAGCCAGAAAGCTCTTCATTCATTCAGCAAGCATTTACTGACTAGATATTCTTTGGTAGACATTGTGCTAGAGGTCACAATCTAGGCATTCAGCAGAAAATGAAAATAAAGGGCCATGACAACTACTATGGAGTTGTCCAGAGAACAGAATATTACTACCTCGAGAGGGAAGAGGAAGGGAAGAGTTGGAGAAAGGCTTCCCAGGAGGTGACATCTAATGTAAGTTTTAAAGGAAGGATAGAGGGGCGCCTGGGTGGCTCAGTCAGTTAAGCGTCTGCCTTCGGTTCAGTTGCTGATCCCGGGGTCCTGGGATCAAGTCCTGCATCAGGCTCCCTGCTCAGTGGGGAGTCTCCTTCTCCCTCTCCCTCTGCTGCTCTCTCTCTTGTCGAATAAATAAGTAAAATCTTTTAAAAAAATACAAGAAGGATAGAATTTAGTGAAGCTTCCTGGAGGAAGCACCATCTGACACTTACAGGATTTAATGACCTAAAAAGGAAAAAGACAACCTAGGTGGGGGGAGTGGACTGTGCCGAGGTGCCGTGGTTAGGGTGAGGGGCTTCGTGGTGTATGGAAGAGGTCACACATCCGCTGCACAGTCAGACAGGGGCCGCTGTGCCTAGTGAATTTGAATTTTACTCCAAATGTGAAGGGACTTGCTATTTGTTTTCATTGCATGAAGTCTGACCTGACCCAATGTTGAAGGACCACTCAGTGTAGAAGCTAAACTTGAGAAAGGGAGATTACAGTTCCGGAGACAGACAAGGGAACCACTTCCTTAACTGGGTCCCATGTCCTTTAGTGCCCAGACTGGGTGGGGGGTGTGGACGTGCACAGCCAGAACGCAGTGAACCAACAGGATGTGGTGAGGAGCCAACCGAGTGGACAGAGCCGACATCTCATGATACATGACGGTCCAAATAGCACGCTGCCCTGCATAAGAAGCTCTGCATTTGGCAATGCTCTCTTCAATCAAATGGAGCCCCAATCTCCATGCCATGCTGATTTGCCATAACTCAGTCTGCTTGTTGGCCTGGCCATGAGGATGATGAAAAGAGCTAAGTCTGGGGATCTGCTTTCTAAATATGAAGTCAAATGTCAAGGGCAGATAATTCTCCCAATACCATACCTAGCAAGAATAGTAACAAATTATAAGTGACTGCTAATCTGAACACACTTCGAGAAAAAAAACAACAAAAGGAATGAAAGCTCTAAGTTTGATATCAGGAGAATGGAGAAATGAATGTCAACAGTGTACTGGGTAGCTGAGAAAGGTATGCCAGATGGGGAGGAGGCTTGTTTTGTTGTGTTCTGCTTTGTTTTTATGACTATGGAAAGGGCAGAGAGTTCTGAAAGAGAAAGAACAAAACAAGACTTCAAAGAGCCACATGGTTATCTCTTCCCAGGCTCAGGGAGCACAGGGAGGACACAGAGGAGGGGCAAGGTGGCCGGGCCATGTCAGGGAGCATGGGGGCACGGGGGTCTGCAAAGACAGGATAAAGGCAAGGATGAAAGCCTGAGGACTAAACATGTCTGAGGGATACTCCAAAGAGATAACTTGGAGCACACAGGGAGCTGAGAGGGCCTGATGCCTTAACATATAAAACACGTAGAAATAACACTATAATCAATAGGAGATGGGAAATGACAAACAGTGGGAGAAGTGGGGATTTTGCTTGTTTTCTGTTGTACTTTTAGAACTCTTTCAAGAAGGAGTCTAAGACATAGAGGAACTCTTTTGTTGTCGTTTTAAAGCAAGAGACTGACACAAAGTAGAAATGTGCTGGAAGCAAGCCTATATCCATGAACACAGTCAAGGGTAAGTTATTCCAAGATCCCGACTGAAAGATGATGTCTACAGACCTGGGGGAGAGAAAGCCAGTACTTCTCATCAATTATGGGAAGGGAAACAATCGAGATAACAAAAATGTTTATCTTCATCTCCCAAAAGTAAGACAAATTGAAAATAAGAGCAGAGGTCATTAACTTTTGTGAGGGCCCATCACAAACTTGATGAAGAACTGGAAGGATGGTTAGGGAGGGTGAGCACCAGAAGGCAGAAGTGTACCAGAGAGGCAGGACAAATCCAACTGGATTTTTTTTTTTTTAATCTTGGAAAAAAGTAAACAAGGGAGGGCACAATGATATTTCAATTGGAACAGAGAATTGTAACAAGCCTGTTCCAGTAACCAGGACCACATGAGAACACACTCGGGGGCTCTACTGTCTGAGAAGGGTCACATGCCCATGGACCACCCATCAGCTTCCCCAGCTCAGTGAGATTGCAGGGCAGGATAGAGGAAGAGTTCAGGGATCAGGACAATCAGATAAGGGGGCCCGTACAGTCTTTTTCTCAAGGACAGAGGGCAGACCCAACCCTGTGGACCCTAGAGTTGCTTGTGACATATGGGACCTGACCAGAGTCATGTTCTAGATGAGTCCAGTATGCACGCTGGGATGCACTGGGGGAGGAGGGGAGGAGGAGAGGAGAAGAGGAGAAGGTTTGCATTATCACCAATGGGACTAGGACAAGGCATGCTCCCTTCTTGTGTCCTGTAAGAGGAACCTTCGGAGGTGGGCATACTTCTGTGTTTCTTCTTAACTGTCAAGAGCTGAACTCCTCTGCCCAAAGTCTGGCTCAGTGCATCTCAGACCTTTCTCGTTCTCACTCCCTTAAAAGCCGCCTCATGTTTAACTCAAAGACTCCTTCAACTGATTCTAGAAGCAGGCTGGATGTGAATCGTAAACAAATAAATGCATCTAAAATAATGTTTTTTTAAGAGAAATTGGGGTAAGTTCAGACAAAACAGAATGTAGACCGTATTAGATAGAAGAAAGTAGAGGTACTTAGCTTTTGAGCAGCAGATAAATGTAGAAATCAGAGAGTCAAAATTAAGAATGAAAGGAAATGACCCCGATGGCCAGGCTCTGTAATCATCAGTCTCCTGCTGGTGGTAGGCTTAAGACCCAAATTCTCCCACGGAAAATCTCCTGGTGGATCGCGTTATCGATCACGGCTACAAATGTGGCTGTTTCACCGGTTATCTAAACGTGCCAGAAGGACTGCTTGGGATCGCTTGTTTTATTTAAAGTACAGGCATGATGCAGATAGATGTCCCTTCCGGAGATTCTGGTATAGGTTTGTCTTATAAATCCACTTACCTAAATATCTCTGAGTTTCCTTTTCTCATCTAAGAATATTTTCTTTTATCCCATTTCTGTATCTTGAAAGTGGTTTAAGGGAATTTAATGAATTCTGGTTTTCCAAGAAGTCATAGTGCTCATTTCCAAGGTTGCCAACTGCCTGCCACCCCACGGCTTCTCTTGTTGATAATGACAGTCATCTATCTACCTTTTGGTAATACCACTTGAACCTTAAAACGACCCGTGGGTGCCTGCGATCCCACAGGCAGGTCAACCTGTCCTTGACTTCGAAGCAATTATTTGAATTGACAGCTGGGAGGCAGAGTTGCTGACTCACTAAAAGAGCTTCGAGACAGAGGCAGGCCAAGGCCCCCTTGGTCTCAAGGACACACAGCCCTGACCCCAGGACAGAAAACACATGTTTTCAGGACCTTTCTCTCAATGAATTCACTGGTTTTTCCCTTACAGTGTTTCATCATTTTTTTCCCCCAAACAGGTATGTTCTGCTTGAAGAAAGACTGTAACTGTGCAGAAAGACGATCCGTAAACAGGGCAGGTGGCTCAGCAACACCAGCCCATCTTTGTTAGGGGTCGGGGAGGAGGGCTGGGAGCCAGGCAGCGTCCACGCTCATCACAGCGCTCCCACTGAACACAACGTGTCTCCCTGAGTGACGCATCACCTTTGTGAGCACCCAGAGCGCCGCAGAGCAATTTACAGTAACTGCACGTGCCTCTCCTGTTGAATGCATACTTACCGAAAGTCACGATTACCAGGTGAATCTTGAGAAACTGCATCACCCAATCAGATGTAAATGTATATATATATGGCATATACACATAGGAGACATATATGTGTGCAAGAGACACGTGTATTACATATGTATATATGTGCATACAGATTATAGAAGTTTTTTTTTTTTTTTTTAAGAGTTTATTTTGAGAGAGAGAGTCCACGAGCGTGAGCAGGGGTAGGAACAGAGGCAGAGGGAGAGAGAGAATCTCAAGCAAACTCCACACTGAGCTTGGGAGCCAGACACAGGACTTGATCCCACGATCCCGAGATCATGACCTGAGCCAAAATCAAGAGTCAGATGCTCAACCGACTGAGCCCCCCAGGCGCCCCCAGGTTACATAAATTTAAATAA